ACGGTGGGAAGGAACCAAAACAAGAAACCCTAATAGGGAGAGGGGGAAAATAACAGAACCAGGCTCAGGGAACTGGTCGGGATGAGGGTGGGCCAGATGGAGAGCAGCAATACAAACAGAACAATGAAAATTTTGGAGGTCGGCGAGGAAGAAGATCTCAGAAGAATCACCAGCTTTAGAAATCCACTTAATTCCTGGATTAAAAAAATAAATAAAAAGAGAGATAAAGTTCACAAAGTTCACAAATGTTCAAATCACAGAGCAGCGTCTCCACCAAAGGTCTCCAATTAAAGAGCCGCTCCATGGCAAAGCCGCCGCCGCCGTCCAGTGATGCTTGTTAAAACACAAACTGACAATAATAGGACTAATCAGTGCAGCGAGAGAGGAGCGCTGAAGTGGCTTCTAATAATCACGGCATTACAAAACAGCAGCAACAGTGTGGAGGTTGACTTTAACTGGAGCCCAGATCGATGGCTGACTGAATCCTCGCTGACTCCTGGGACTCTCTTTGTCAATATGGCAGATTGTAATTCCAGCAGGATTAGCGTTAGCCTCCGTTCCAACGCCGACGATGAAATAAAATGTCATCACGTGGGTCTTAAAGGAACGGGTCGGCTGCTGGTTTTTAAACCGGGGCATTTGTTTATTTGTTTGTTTGTGTATTTATTGGTGAATTTAAAGGTAATCAATAACTTGTGAGGTGTCTCCTGGTGTTTGCTGGCACAAGCCGGAGGGGCCCAGGGGAAATCTGTCTACAAAGCAATTAACTGGAACACCTCCAGTTCTCCAGTAATCCCTGCTGTGAATCCCCAGCTTGTTGTTTAAAGTGTTCATACGTGTTTGTTTTTTTTATTCAGTCTAATGATGCGTTATGGAGCTGATACGATAACTACAATATTCTTCTTTTTCCTTTATAAATGTCAAACACAATGAAACTCTTTATTAAAACGCCTGAGCCGAATCTCGCCCTTAGTTTTCACTCCCTCATATTATGCACAAAAAGCCATTTTCAATTTCCTTTGTGTAGAAATGAAAGCGCTTTCAAACAATAAGCTCAGAAAAAAAACGCTTTATCTGGCACGAGTGTAGATAATGAATTAAGAGAGCGGAGCGGAGGGAAATAAAACCGGCATCAGTGCCATTTGAAATGTGTGAACGAAGGAGGATAACAGATAGGAGTGAAGAAATCTATGGACTTAATTATAAAAATAAAAAACATAAAAAGAGCTAGCTCACAGGGAATCAGTGAATTTGTTGGGTTTTCGTGTATATTTCAATGTTTTAATTAACAATACTGTCAAGTTTAATCCACGTTAAGCTGTATTTGATATCATTTGTGTCAGGTTTTAATCTTTCATAATTAAATCCACTCCAGAGATAACACCGTGGGGCCTCAACCTCGAGATTTTAACTTGTTTGGTTAATTCATAGCCCTGATTAGATGTTTCTACTGGAAAGCTGCTTTAAATGTGCCGTATAAATTACAGCGCGTTGACGTGACACAACATTGAGTCCTGCTATTTTTCTCAGTATTTTAGAAGTAGCCCAGAGAATTTAATTGATGTCAGATGATTTTAAAGCCACGCAGTCCATCCAATAATCAGCTGGTCCAGCGCTGTGAGGCTGTAACGAGGCACAGTGGAGCTTCAGCGTGCTCATTACGAGGATGCTAACATGCTAACCTCCTTAGGACGCTGCATGAAAAGTTAGAAGATCGAGAGTCAGTCAAAATCAAGTCAATCCTCCTCCAAACAGTTCAGCCTTAAAACTTTTCAAAACACTTCACACAAACCCAGAAACATTTCCCGGAGCCGTCGGGGGATCACCGCCGCGCCACCGCTTTCTCTAATGAGTGAAAACGTGCGCCTGCTGGAGGAAAAGTCCAATGATCCCCAAACTCCTCCAGGGACCATAAAGTTTAATGGCAATCCATTAACTTTCAGATGCATACTTTGGGCTGCTGGTGACCCAGAAACCTTTAACACCCTGTGTAATTGCTTCATTTATTTAGTTAAGCAGCCCTGCTCTCCCTGGTGTTCCTCACGCTGGTTGTTTTTTGTTTTGAAATTGTTCGGGTGTCAAAATTTCAAAAATAACACAAAGCATTGTTTCGGTTAGTGACCCAAGATGTGTAGTAATGCTGCACAAGTGTGTCGTCTGGCTTCGTGTCACGTTATCGGTGCTGCAGGTTCACTTCAGACCAGCGTGGAGAGTTTTGAGCGCTGCTTATTGTAGAGATATCTCAGACAGGTGACAGCGCCGTAGCTTCTGTGCCCGTCTTAAAGCGGAACGTTTTAAAAACAGTAATTTACAAACCAATTCGCAGCAAATGGCAACAGCGGTTACCGCAGCGGCAACCAGGGGAAGGCACGACCGATAAAGGAATCTGCTGTAAACATACGTCTCACAAACATGCACTCTGCTGGAAAACATCGTCATTCAGCCGCTGGAAGGAGGGACCACGACTTGGTCTGTAAATGTTTAGTCGATACAGAAGCAGAACCACTTTAGCTGAAAAATCTCTGAGGAAAAAAATGTGGGAGACACTTCGTTTGTACATCAACAAAACCACACTGCAGTAATCACAAATACCTGACTGTGGTTAGTGATGACGGACTAGTTTGGATCACAGCCGGAAACAGATTTTTCTGGATGCTCTACATATAAAAATGACTTTAAATGTTCCGTAAATGACAGAATGTATTTTGGGGTGTTTGTTATTGTTAAAACTACCCTCTGAGAATCATACAGGCAGTTTGTTTTTAATCTGCTTTATACAAGTGCCCAGATATCCACTAATGAGCCACGCATTGAAAGGTTAAATGGTTGTGGGATGTCTCAGTCTGAAGTGGCTGAAGACCCTGGCATGTGATCCAATCTGCCGTTTTGCAAAATTAATCATCATTCTGTAGCTTAAACGTGATTTGAGGCACGTTCAGCAAACACAGAGTAGAAGAAGGTGTTTAGATGGGATATAACGGCAACATGAGGCAAAAATAAGGCGTAAAAAGAGGAACGGATTCATCTCATAAACTAATAAACAGTCGTGACTTAACAATCCAAACCTCGCTATCCGACAGGTTTTTAGGAAAAACGAATCCATAGAAAACAGCCTTAACATAGTGACAGCCTTGCATTTGACTCTAACGTGATATTTTATGAGACAAATAAGAATAACGGCGTATTATCTGACTGAACTTTACTTACCTTTGATGTCGGCCCGTGCACAAGGCGTGAAATCCAGCGATGCGTAGCGTTCTAACAACAGACTCGTCCCACTCACCAACTGATGAAGTCGGTTTGCATCAGTTTGTTAGTGAACACCTCTACATGAGTGGGTCACAGGACGGACAGGTTTGGTGCTTTGAACCGATACGTACTGCGGTTGTATCGGGTTTATCAATCACAGAAAGTAACTGCTTCGACGCTCTTACACGTCAGACGTCATAGTTTTCACCAGCGTTCAAGAAGTCACAAACTTCTGTCACAGAGCGATCAACCAGCAGAAACAGACAGAGATAACAGTAGCGGTGAAAGAAGCTCTGGGTCAGTAGAAGCTAGATCATCTGAAATGCTCCCAGGACAGATTGTCACCCCGCTGTTCAGATCGCTTCAAACTCAAAACCTGACTACTCACAAAACCACAACGAGAACAGAGAACGAGACCTGAACTCTCTCATTCAGGTCTACACTCCCTCTGCTCACTACGCTCAACCAATAAAACCCGCCTGATCCAACCACTGCAACAGGGCTGAGGTCGATAGCTGGACTCTTCTCCTCTGTGGTGGAACGAGTCACCAAACTCTGATCAATCTGCTGACTCTCAGTCTTTAAGAAAAGACTAAAGACCAGCTCGTCACTGAACATCTTTGGACTTGACAGCCCAAAAACAAACAAACAAAAATCCTATTACCTTATAGCCTGATATTGGCATCAGCGCCCTGAATTTGCTCTGTGGCACTCATCCAGGTTATTTTCTCCGGACTAGATCTTTGCTTGTGTTGCATCTGCTCTCAGATGTACGTCGCTTTGGATAAAAGCTTCTGCCAAATGAAACTGTAGAATTATAGATTGATACAGTTCATAAAAGACACCTGTTCTGTGACAACATATAAATCCTAACAACATCATATACGTAGACAGGTTATTATAACAACTATGAACGATAAATATTAACAACTCATGAGCCTTCCAGCATCAAGCCCTCCTCGTATCTGGACCTCCGTCTGGACAATCCGACAGCCTTGCTATCCGACATAGAAGAAGGTTTTATATTTAGTGTCGTATCATCGAGTCACGACTGTAGATTAAAACAGATAAACAAGAAACCAAAAGGTGTAGTGAGTATGTAATGAAGAGTCTCAGATTTATTTTAGTCAAAGTTTGTTGCAAACTGACTTAAAACAGAAGAACTGAGAGGTTCAGCAGATCTGCAGTTTCCTTCTGAGAGTCTATTTCAGATATGTGGAGCATAAAAATTGAATGTTTCCTCTCCGTGCTTGGTTTTGACCCCAGAGGACAGTAAGAAAATCTGCCCCAGACAACCTGAGAGGTGTGAATCGTTCATAATGTAGCGGCAGGCAGGAGAATGTGCTTTGGCCTTAAACTACCCGGCGCTTTTTTTCAAACCACAGGAAGCCGGTGCAGACCTGAGAAACCCGGAGCGGTCCACATTCCTCGTCTTTGTGAGGCCCGTGGCAGCATCGTTCTGAATCGGCTGCAGCTGTCGGGTGTAATCGACCAAATTGCGCTTCGTGTCATATCGTGAAATTCGTATTCAGCCACACAGTGGAGATCACTGAATACATCCTCCACTTCCAGACCGCATTGTTCACTGGCAGCTGTTTAGCGATGTATGAATGCAGCGGGGCGTTTGGCTGTTTTGAAGGATGCGTTCTGTGTCCAACTCTTTTTGCTCGGCTTCATTGAACTGCACACTCGACAGCTGCACTCCCCGAAAAATCGATCAACATTATGACAGAAAGTGAGACGTGGAAGCTTTTCGGAACAACCCACCTGTAGCTGGAATCATAAAGAACACAGAAACACAACATGCATTTGAAAAGGATGACTGTTTGTGGACGTGACGATTGATTTAACGCGCTGTCCTTGTCTTGCTTCATGTGTACAGATTAGCTGCAAGGTGGTCGTGACCTTGTTCATGTACTTCCTGGCAACCAATTACTACTGGATCCTTGTGGAGGGCCTCTACCTCCACAGCCTCATCTTTATGACCTTCTTCTCAGACAGAAAGTATCTGTGGGGATTTACTCTGATTGGATGGGGTGAGTTCTGCTTCATTTACATGACATTTGCATGCACATGAACACAACACACAGGTACCTAGAAAAAGTATTTCTCCCCCCGTTGGAAGAAAGGATTATGTTAAGTCAGAGTACAACACAATTTATTGTTTTGGTTATTTAGGAGTATAAAATGTAAGATAGATGATTGTACCCAATCCTTTAAAGAGACTCTCGTCGCCAGCCAGCCGGTGCAGTGGATGTATCTCAGGTGATTGTCGTATAAGCACACCTGTATGTGGACGAAGGTTCTTTGGTTTGATGAGACCCAAATTAGGCTTTTTTTGGCCGTCAGACCAGAAGCTATGTTTACCTGACACCAAGCACAACATCCTAACCACGAGGCACGGCGGTGGCAGCATCATTGATGTGGTTCTAGGCAGCAGGCGCTGGCAGATGTGTAAAGGTTGAGGGTTAAATCAATGCAGCAAAGTAAATGTAAATCCTGGAGGACGACCTGATGCAAGAGAACTGCAACTTGGGGGAAGATTTGTTTTGCAGCAAAACAGCGACTTAAAGCTTAAGCTACACAACAACAAGGTGAAAGTGCTGAAGCCAGAACCCTGAATCCAACTGAGAATTTGTGGCTGGACTTAAAAAGGGGCTGTTCATTTACGATCCCCAAAATACAGAGTTTGAGCAGTTTTGCAAAAACAATGGGGTGAAACTGTGGCGTCCAGATGTGCAAGTCTGAGTTAGACGATCACATCCACTCAGCCTGAAGGTGGATCCACTAAATACTGACTTGAAGGAGATAAATACTCATGCAGTCACTTGTTTTACATTTTATATTTCTAAATAATTTCCTTCACTTTGTAAAAAATCAGTTTTTACTTTGAACATGACAGAACCTTTCTCTCATGACTCAGTGTTGTAGTTTAAAGAGAGCCGAATGCTTTTCACTTTACATAATCAGTCGACTTTTAAATACCATGCAGATGTAATGTATGTAAATTCTGATTTCTTAAATACTATGCAACAAAACAGTAGGAGCCAAATCCCCTGGAGACATTGTACTATAACCTAAGTGAGGGAAATGGAAAATGACTCATCTGTAGAAACACTGCCTGAATATGGGCGTTACGGTTCCTGCATTGTACACACTGTGCGTATAAATTAAATAAGCACAGCGCATACAATGTGGATGCTGTGCTACCCAGGTTCTACCCACATTAGCAAATTGTGGACTTCAGTTATTTTTGCGTGGCTATTTTCTATTGTAATCTATTGTTTATTGTGTGTTGCAGGAGTGCCGGCCGTGTTTGTGACCATTTGGGCAACTGTGAGAGCCACGTTTGCCGACACAGAGTAAGTGAATTACTTTAATACAAAAAAACTAACATCAGAAGTCGTCTAAAGCAAATACTTAATGATGAAAACACATTAATCACGTGTTGCTCTGTATGAACTGCAGCACTTCAGCTGGGTATTCATTTTAAATGGTAAATGGTCTGCACTTATATAGCGCTTTTCTACCTTTGCGGCACTCAAAGCGCTTTACAATGTTTCTCATTCACACACACATTCACACACCAATGGCGACAGAGCTGCCATGCAAGGCGCTAGTCTGCCATTGGGAGCAACTTCGGGTTCAGTGTCTTGCCCAAGGACACTTCGACTGTGGACGGGCCGGGGATCGAACCGCCAACCTTGCGATTAGAGGACAACCCGCTCTACCACCTGAGCCACAGCCGCTTTAAAGCTTTAAATGGTGAAATGAAGACGTAGAGTCTAAAAAATGTTGGTATCTGCATTCATAAGTTGCCACTAAACTGTCATAAACTTGAGTTTGAGGACAAGTTTGAAAGCTAATTAAAGTAGGTTCACTTTACTTTTGTGAACCTCATAGAGCGAAAACTGCCCGACTCTGAGCAGCACTATCTGCTGGCTTTACGTTGATCCTGTGCCACGGTTGAACACCGAGGACTCTGCGGTGGAGAGGTTTACAGCTAAGCTGGTATCCAGCAGCTTTAGAGTGGAATCTAAACACCTACTTCACTTCCCTGTCATTAGCAGAGCAGCAGAACATTTTCTGCCCTCCTTCTAGGTCTTTATGGGCAGAAGAACCACCCAAGCATGATAATAACTCCATCTTGAGAAAGTGCCCTGAGCAGTTATTGAGTAAAAATAACTTAGCTGGAAGTCAAATCGGTCCTCAGCGGATGCCACGCTGGTCAGAATCTACCAGAACCAGGCACAATCGATGCTCTCAGCCCACAGGTCCAGAGTAGAGGATGAAACTAAATGAGGAGGTCAGTGTCAAAGTGGGCTGAACCAGATTTATTAGTTTTAAGGGGAAAAATGGGGTCTAAAATTTGTGTTGCTAAAAAACAATCGTGGTTGTTGGAGGAGTCATTATCTGCATCCAGAGATGTTCCAACAGAGATAGAAACAACTGCTCTGTGATGACTTATTGAAGTTTTAATTTCCTTCTGCTGAGCGCCAAAGGGGGCCGTACCACATTTTCTACTTCTTGAGAAACAAACTGATTCCAGGTTTGTCTTGTTGAACAGCATTGAAGAGTTTATATCATGAGGAACTAGAGGTACTTCTGAGGACCGTGGGGTAGAAACAGATGCTTGGTGGTGCTTCATTAAGGTTTTATTTCACCTTACCGTACCTACCAGTTGAGTTTCCACGGGGCTTGAGGTCGTGCTGTCCGCCATCTTGAATTGAATAACGGTCAGCGGTTCCTGTGACTTGGTCCAGTTTGCCACTAAATTTTCATCATGGGTCAAACTTCTAAGTGGCATCGTGACATTACCAGTTGGCTGCTGGTTTGAGCACTTTGACACCAACTAGTCGACCATAAACACTCAACTTTGGGTTTTTTTGTGTTTTGGCCCCCTTTGGCACTGAACCCCTCGAATATGATGGTTGAAGCCAACTGGACCGCTTTGATAAGATTTCATTATTTGAAGCCTTTAACAAAGTCCAACCTGTAAAAGCCGTAGAAGTGGGTTTACGTGTGACTCAGGGCTGATGAAACAACTGAAGAGGAATTAAGGCCAGAAATATAATGTTTGACAAACGTAATCGGTTTCATATGACACTTGTGTCTTCAAGTGTCGGCTAAATCCGGTGGAGAGGAGAAGGATGGAGCCAATGTTCTTTCTAAACCTCCCTCTAAGTCCTGTCATATTGTGAAGTGATGGCAGAGATCATTAAGGACATCAGAGTGCAATATAGGGATCCCGGATCATCACCTCGACCGGCTCAATCCTCCTTCATCTCTTGCTGATCCGTGTTTTGCGGTTGTGTGTTTATTGCAGGTGTTGGGACTTAAGTGCAGGCAATTTGAAATGGATATATCAAGTGCCTATCCTGGCGGCCGTAGTGGTGAGTACATGATTGCTGCTTGCACCTTCCTGCCCCCCACGGTGTCGGAAATGACAGTGTTTCACTGCACCTGTGGCATTGCAGCTGCAGAATGAGACGCCTGTTTGTTTTTTTTACTTTGCAATTACACGGCGTTTGTGTCATCGTGTTTCTGTTTCCTCTTCAGGTTAACTTTCTGTTATTTCTGAACATCATCAGAGTCTTGGCGACTAAACTACGAGAAACAAATGCTGGACGATGCGACACCAGACAACAGTACAGGTAGCAGCACCGTGCAAAACGATGCTTTCCTTTGGATTCATGTGACAAACGTGTAACCTGTAGCCACCAGAACAAGCGTGGTTTGGTCACATTGCGTTATTTCATCTGCTGAGCAGTTGGAAACTATGTGCAGTTCAGTTTTGATTGATTTAAAATGGAGAAAGTCTGCAAATCCTCACATAATAAGAAGCTAGAACGAGTGTATCAAAGAACCCAGCTTGTCTGTTGATCAATCCGTCAATTAAACCTCTGAGGAGGGAGACTTTAGCTCTGCAGTGTGCAGAAGATCTGACAAAACACTGATTGTTGTTGTTACAGGAAGCTGTTGAAGTCCACGCTGGTGCTGATGCCGCTGTTCGGCGTCCACTACATCATATTCAACGCCATGCCGTACACAGAGGTGTCCGGAGTTCCCTGGTTGATCCAGATGCACTATGAGATGCTGTTCAACTCCTTCCAGGTGAAGCTGCTGTTGCAGGAAACCCAGGAATGCAAATTCATCTTAGGGTCCCGCATGAATATTAATGTGTCCTTTCAAGCTGACTGAATGTGATGGACCTGATGAGGATTCGTCACGCCCTCGGGGTTAATGTTATCACCTCAGACCAGTTACCGGATGTCCAGCCGTTGCTTTGTTGTTGTAGTTTGATCCCAATTAGGATGAAGAAAACAATGGGGTAGCTGATGAGTGAAAATATCAACGTAACACCTAATTATGAAGCTAAAATGTCATATTTAGTGGACGCTAAGAAAAGCTGGTTCATTAAATTCATTTTTTGCTCTTTTCCAGGGATTCTTAGTGGCAATTATCTACTGCTTCTGCAACGGAGAGGTAAGAACTCAAAGATAGTTTGGTTGCTTTTTAACTTTTTAAGACACTGCAGCCCATAAAGTTGGAATATAATAGATTTTTAATCACTTCTCATGGAATGATTGTGACAATGTGATTTATTCTTGATAGATAAAGTGTATATCGTCTCAAAACTTTATTGGTATCACAATATAATACATTACACAGTAAAAATTAAACCACAATCAACTTTTGCAAACTGTGCATTCAGGCTTAAACTAAACTGTGGGTACTGAACAGGATGAAGGGTTTTGTTTTAATTTTTCAACCTTATTCGAGGGGATTGTCCAATATTACTATTTAAATGTCACTAATACTGAGTCTGGCCTCCCCTGACATGGATCAATGACGTGGTGGCGTCCTGTCCATCAGCTGGTTGATGGAGTCAACGGGCAGGACGTCCCACTCTTCAGTCACATCCTGAAGCTAGAATTAGTTTCACCTGGTAACTGGTGCTGAGGATGTCATCATTGGACCTGGTCAAAGTGATTAGTGAGGTGTAGAAATAGGAATAAAAAAGAGGAATGTGTGGGCTGAAAGGTGTCTCGGTGGTTAGCACCGTCGTCTCACAGCTAGAAGGTCATCGGTTCACGTCCCGGAGAGGACATCCTCTGCGTGGAGTCTCCATGTTCTTCCCGTGCAGCGTGGGTTCTCTCCGGGTTCTCCGGCTTCCTCCCACAGTCCAGAAACATGCTGAGGTTAATTGGTGATTGTAAATTGTCCGTAGGTGTGAATGTGAGTGTGCTTGGTTGTCTGTCTCTAAGTGTAGCCCTGTGATAGACTGGTTACCTGTCCAGGTGAACCTGCCTTCACCCTGAGTCGACTGGGATAGACTCCAGCCCCCCATTACCCTGGTGAGGATGAAGGTGTAGAGATGATGAATGGATGGATGGAATGTGTCCAAAAACTATTCCAACTTTATGTGCAACAGTGTGTTATGAGCTCTCTATCACGTCTAAATCATCTGTTTTCTATTTAGGTTCAAGCTGAGATCAAGAAGTCCTGGAGCAGGAGAACGCTGGCTCTCGATTTCAAAAGAAAAGCTCGAAGCGGCAGCAACACCTACAGCTACGGACCCATGGTGTCCCACACCAGCGTCACCAACGTCACCGCCAGAGGGCCGCTGGCGCTCCACCTCACCACCAGGCTCGGACCGCCGCCCGTCAACGGACACAGGAACCTGCCCGGCTACGTCAAGAACGGCTCCGTCTCCGAGAACTCCATACCGTCGTCGGGGCAGGAGCTCCACATCCCCGAAGAGGAGCAGTCTGCTCCCCCGCGGCCCTGCGAGGACGAGAAGCCGTCGCCGGTGGTGGAGGAGGAGAGGGAGACGGTCATGTGAAAAGTGGAAATAACACATTATGAAACAGTCTCAGGATGGTTTGAAGGGGATGGCTGCACGCGTCAACGCTGCCGGTTTTTCCTCCTGTGAATCGAGCCAGAACATTGCCGACTGATGAGGCTCAAGGCAAAGAAAAAAAAAAAAGGGTGTATCACTTTTGTGAGCTCGTTCGAGGGATGATGACCCCCCATTTTCGCGGCAATACTCTCGACTCTTCCGCCCAACCGCCCGCCACGACGAATGTGTACAAGGCTGAGAACAGACTGCCGTTTCTCATTTCTCCTCCACTGCCATAACTGCCGTCAGCTTGTTTTCCGTTCGCAGCAAAGGTCTCGTGGTCGTCTTTTGTGCTTAAATTCAAACTGGAGTCTGGTGGGTGCTGTAGCAGCTACCAGCGTAGAGCAGCCTTAACCACCTAACGGGAAGCCAGGTGGGCTCAGAGTGCACTTAACGGCACAGATGTGGACAATTTCATCAGCAGCTTTTGGATAAAGTGAAGGCCTCAAAAGTTATTGATGCGACTACGATGAGTTTCTGGCATCTCATTGTGTTCTGCGTTAAATCCACTTCAGTTTCAAAGGGAAGTTACTCAGGTAATTGAAGTCCTCTGTTGTTGCACACCTATTTTTATACGTTTAAAGCGGCGTTTGAGTCGGCATGTCTCTCCAGAGGATGCTCGTATGTTACATAAGGCTGTGTTGATTTGTTTTTTTTTTATTTCAACATGTTGTACAGTTTCTGCTGTTTCGATCGACCCAGTAATCGTCCCTCCTCAACAGAATTTTTGAATAGTTAAAATGAATGTATCGTGTTCCATTTTTAATTTCTTCCTCCTCCAAAACACACGACCAAAGTAAGAACGCCAAAGTAGGAATATTTCTCTGAAGGCTGCCTTTCTCTGCTCTGGGTTCAGTGTGAGTTGAGGTAAAGAAGAACAAAAAAAAAACCACGTTCTTACCGAGTTCTTACAAGATGAAACTCCATTTAAAAACTCAGAAGCCGCCATTTATTCCAGCGGAATGCGAATTAAACGAGGAATCCAATAAAATCTTAAACCCGACTGGAATTCCACGAGCGCTATTTGTGGTGGATACAGAAGGTCATTTTTCTTTCTCTATTTTTTTTTTTTTTTTTTTTTTACAGATGGTCCAATGTTGTGCTGCTTTTCGATGTACATACAAACAAGTCAACATGTTTACAAAGATCAGAAAGACATTATAATTGTGAGCTAAAAGTGTTCATGTGTAATGGATATGTTATGAAGCTGTTTTGATGTTTTTTTTAAAAAAATGTGTTTGTTTAAGGAATGTTGGAAATATCTGATCATGTAAATAGTCCCAAACAGAACTGGCGAGTATATTTCCAGGGCATTCATACGAGCATTTACTGAAGCATTCCACGCGTTGTTTTAAAACCCTGTAACTTGTAATATAGCGCACTCGACCTGCGCGGTCGGCAGGGTCGGGTCACGTCGTGTATTATACCAAAGAGAAGGTTGTATCGCCGTTTTTCTTTGCGTTCGTTATCTTGTTTACAGCGACCGAATCGTCTTAAAGTTGCCGTAAACGTGTGAACAGCAGAGAGCAAAACGAGAATTCAGTATCTAGATCATAGTGGGACCGGACTGATATTAAAGGCAATTATTCTTATTACTTTTTAATCCTCAACTTGGTTTTTCGACTTTGCTCAGTCTCCAGATTGAATTCTAGTCGCTGTGAGTGATGCTGGATTCAACCAATATTTGGCCCGATTCTTTTTCTATGTATGAGGAGCAGAACCGGGTCTGTAATCCCTCCTCCTGTCACGCTCTTCTGGTCCCTTCACACCTCCTGAGCCATGCTCCCAATCTGCCCTTATTCCTGGTTTCACAGCACCTGTTGCCCTTAAGACGTGTGTGTTTACTGACATTTAAAGTCTCGCCAGCAACTTAAACTGAATCTAAAGTAAGAAAACTAAATCATACCTCAGCTTCAGGCAACTTTACAACCCGTCTGGTCTCTTTTTGTGCAAGATGTTAAAGGATGCTCAGCAATATTCTGCGTGTTTATCGCCAATTAAAACACCAAAACCGACAATGATTTGGCTTCTAAGTAACGTCTGATACAGCGATGTGCAATGGAGCTGCATTGTATAAAAAAAAACACACTGACGTTCACATTTCACTAAATTTTGGTAAAAAACAAACAGCAGGTTTTGGAAACTTCGCAACCTTTTGAGATTGTGGTGTCTCACAAAACCAAGATATTTTCCTACGATTCGTCCTGTCGTCCACGCAGATTAAAAACGGTTCTTTCAAAACCTCCGACCATAGTGAAGATTTATGAATCCTCCGTCTGCATGTAGACATCGATAACCGGGTTTTAGGTTTCACTGCCTTCGACAAAATATGTTCTTACGTCACATGTGCGAGCTGTGTTTGGAAACAGCGCAGACGCCCTCAGACCTGTGTGGCCGTTGCACAAGAACACAGGCGACGTTAAGGACGCTTATTTTACGACGTCGAGACACGGAAGCTCACTCTGATTGGATAGGATTTGGGGAACTACTGCCACCTACAGGTTTGGCAGCTTATGAATGTGCTCAACAACACACCTGTGCGGTTAGATGTGGGTGAAGTTTTTATCTAAAAACTAGGTGGTGAGTAGGGGGGAGGATATTCAGTTTTATAAAAGCCCAGCTTCGTGTCGACTACGCCTGAATCTTTGTAAGCGAGTTTTAGCGACTTACGTCTTAAGTGGGAACACGTGGCTGAGAGATAAAGATGAAGGAGTGATGTCATGAAGCATCAGGAGACAGACTAACATGCTCTTTTTGCAAAATAATAGAAAAATAAAACCAGCATCGCAGTGATTTCATTTTAACAACTCTGGGATCGGGGGGTTACAAGAGCAATCACAGGTGTCTGCAGGACACCACCGGGGCTGGATAACACCTCTGCCACTGGATGAAACAGCTGCTCACTGCCACAAAAAGACTTCATTTAACTGGATCCTTGCAGCCTTCAGGTTCCTCTCCCTTCTCGTGGAATTTGGCAGAATTTGCAAAGCGAGCGTGCCACGCTACCATCCGGGTTTAGAGATCGGGATCAAAGCATCAGAGCAGGAAAATCTTGGAAAACACCTGGAAAAATTCTATTTGAGCACTTTAAAAGCCCTAGAAAACAGTATTTTGTTCTGATTGTATGATGAAAAATGATTGTGTTTTTGGAGCGTACAATAAGGCCAATCGTCATAGAGCTAATGTTGTGTTTCTATTGTTACAAATACCTCTCATGGAAGTATAAAGTGTATTTCATTGTCATTTTATTTATCTCGTGCTGAAGTGTACATCGGTGGAGCCGTCGGTAGTCTCTAGACGAGGCGTGTGCTTTCCGACACGCCTCTGACCTTCTCATGACTCCATTGTGACGTAGGCATGTTGTAGACATCAGTGTAAACCTTTGGATAAAGTAGGAAGATGTTTTTTCTGGTCTCTGATGTTCATCGGTGAATTGTGAATAAGACAATAAATCTATAATTCTACTGTACTCTGACACTCTTGGCACGCTCGTGATTCTCTGTGAGACCAATTTTTGTTTATTTTAAATATAATTTCATACAAAGTTTGTTTTTTTTTTAGAAAACAAGCGCCCAAAATGTTTGAAAAATATGAAATTTTTTTACAGTGTTTGCAGGAAGAGTTCACTTCTGAGCTTTCTTGGCCCCCCCTTTAGCTCCTCCTTTGCCTCCTTTCTCCCCTTTATCTCCTTTGTCTCCCTTGTCTCCTTTATCTCCAGACTTCTTCCCTTTTCCTTCGCCGCCCTCTTTCTTGGAGTCGCCCTTTTCGCCCTTCTTCTTTGCCGGCGCGTCCTTTTCATCTCCTTTCCCCTCTTTGGCACTCTTGCCCTCTTTCTTGCCCTCCTTGGTCTTCTTCTCTCCTTTGTCGGCGTCCACTTTCCCGGAGACCGTCGTCACCTCCTCCTTTTCTTCCGCTTTTGCAGCTGCAGAACAACCAGAAAAAGGAAAGAAAGGTTAGAGGCTTCTCCGCAGCATCAGGTATCATCAGGGTCCTGCCTCCGATGGTAATTGGACGGGAAAATTAAATCCAACAGAATGCCGGGCTAAGTGGGGTGCACTTAATGAAGACACATCTGCTCCTATCTGTTCTAATAAGCATGGTCCACTTGTCATTTTAATAAGACTGTTTAAAGGGCGTTCTAGGTGAGAACGGAGAGCTTCACGGGCAGATTTGTGTTTGTTGACAGAGACGATGAATTTCTTGTTATTATTCAGGATGTGGATGTGGAGCAGGATGAATATCTCATTAAAGTTACCGCGCCGAAGTTAGGGAACGACATATGTAGGAAGCATATTTTACTTTTGGAGCTTTTGATCTGTGTCTTTAGGTGTAAATGTTTAACAGATGAAAAATGAAAGGTGCCTCGTCGATAGAGCTGAACAGGAACTCACAGACAAACACTCGACTGTTACCATGACGGCCTCGGATGAGCGTTCACAAAAGAGCGTCGGTGTGTTTTCACTCTTCAGCAACTACTGTTTGGAAACAGAGGAAATTGCTGCGAGGGTATACTATAGTCAGAGCCAAATAGAGCTGCTGCTTTCTTTTTTTTTTTTGCCTGTTTTTGTTTCTGGTAGCAAAGCAAACAGTTTCTCCAGCGCTCCACAAATACTGCATGAGACACTGGATGCAAAAACAAAGAGCCAAGGAGCCAAACGACAAGCACTCGCCAAATGCCAGAAGCTGCCAGAGGCAGTCGGAGTAAACTACAAATTATTGTAGTGCCGTGTTTTCCTGTGTTGGGCGAATCCAACCGACTTAAAATAATCAAGCGGCCGTCAGGATGTTTGTGTTTTGACTGAACTCCTCTGTTATCCTCCACTCTGACGCTCTGCTCCTGCTTCTGGTTTTTTTTTTTCTTTCCTCGTGCTGTAAAGCATTTTGACCGAGGCATCGGATTAAAGGTTGGTACGTAAAATGTCAGTTTGAAACCATTTGGGATCACACCAGCAGGGTTTTTCTTTCATCCAGTGTCCGCTTGGTTACGCTCTGTTTGGTGGTGGAATGATTAAAGGTCAGAAGGCCTCGGCTCTCACACCATCAAATGTCAGATGTTCTGCCGCACACAGCTGCTGTGATGTAGATTTTTTTTTTCAATGACGCGGTGTGTTTTGGAAACGTGGCATTTAAAAAAACAATTATATTTTTAATTAAAGCCGCAAGCGGCGATGGACGGGTCCTCGCCCTACGCTTGTCGGCCTTCGCGCACGGCGGGGTGTGGCGCAAACCTGCTCCGGGCGGGACTGTGATCCGGCATGTCGAGTNCGCCGAAGTTAGGGAACGACATATGTAGGAAGCAAAGACAGTAACACTGATTTATGCAGCTTTTCTAGAAATATTCTGTTTTCTTATTCACTTGTTTTGCCGTTAGTTGGATGAAAAGTCAAATATGAAGCCAAGCTTGGCATAAAGACGGTACACTGTAAGAAAAGTCCATGAAAACACAGCACAATGTAAGAAGGAGTTTATCTGTAGTGATTTTTTACAGGTGTTTCTTGCGTATTTTGAAGCCTGCACTGCATTATGGGAACAAGGACCTCCGCTGGCCGTGGAAATTGTAAAGGGAAGCAGCCATTAACCCCTTCGGTCGGACTAAGCTCTGTGAAAGGATTTCAGGATTGGAGTAACTTTTGTCACACGTCTGTGGTAAAAAAACAAACAAAAAAATGAATCTAGCTTTAAATTGTTTCGTCCCCACTGAAGCAGATAGCGGTCCCGTCATGTCGCTAATCGGCGGAGCTAGCGTTAGCTGATTTTTCCCCAATAAGCTACTGCCGTTGGGCGACGTGGCGTGCTACGACTAAACTAAGAGACGAACTTGTTCAGGGACTCTTATTCCAGAGTGTGGTGGACGCCAGGCAGAGGGAGGCTGTCAGTGCTCATCAGTCAGTTCTAGCCTCGGTGATGGGGTGTTGCTGACTTTGAGTAGCTGTGGTTATCGATACGAAATGCATTGCTGGTGTGTATGGATCAGTTTAATGCCCTCAGCAATGGCGGTAGTGCTGACATGATGGTATCCGGGTGTTAAGAGGAACCAGTCCAGTCCAATAAGTTGCCCCCATCTTTGACAGTAGCACTAGTCTTCTTATCTACGTCTCCAAAATGTCAGATTAAAATTCATTCAAACTGAGGAGCTTTTGATCTGTGTCTTTAGGTGTAAATGTTTAACAGATGAAAAATGAAAGGTGCCTCGTCGATAGAGCTGAACAGGAACTCACAGACAAA